ATTAAATGGAAGAAGTCCACAGGTTACTTAAAAACAGTCATGTTCTACATTTGAAATGGCACAATTCTTGAGACAACCAACTTGCTATCCATTCACTGAACACGTTTATAATATACACTACCACAGTTGAAAAAAGTCAAAATAATCCCTCTAATAAAATTACAGAAAACTGTAAACTGCTTTCTGAAAATTATTTTTTCTCCACAGCTATTTATACAGTACTCTTATCTAACTTATTAGTAATGTTAAAGAATTCATGTTAGAGAAATTATCACAGCTATGTTTCTCAAAATATAGGCTGTATTAGAGTTGCCAAAGTAGAAAAACACACCTTTGAAATAATATTTTATTGACAGTCTAAGAAATCTGACCCTGGTGCATTTGCTTAGACTTCAGTTCAAAGAGTATCTTTTAATGTCAACTACCTACCACTATTTATTTAGCCTAAAACTATCTCGAATGTAAGTGATGGCTCTTTTCAGGATATACTAGCATTTTAAAAAGGAGTATAAGCTAAGCATCTTTGGCTACACCTTTTAAACACTTCAGTTCCCAAAACAGGCAAGAGAAACAGTTTATCTACCTTCTTGCTTTCCCTTCTGAAAAGAAGCGAGCAGAGTGAATGCAGACACTCAGAAAGCAGATAGTATCTACAGGGAAGCTATCATTTTAAGTGGTTTTAAAAAGTGTGTTCCAAGCAATTCAAAGAGTAGTTCCAACCTTAAATCACCCTGCCAATTTCTCCTACCTTGCTATATTTCTTTCCTCATCCTTGCTGCTGCATGGAAGAACCAAAACAAGGAAATTAACTTAATGACTACACACCAGTAAAGTCCCTACAATGTCATCAGGGATTTTCCTGTCAATGAGTGTCAAGCTTCTGGCCTGTGTATGCACTGAACAGGTGAACTGCATACACAGTTATTCTGAAATGTTCCAGATGCACTGCATTTACTACTTCCACAGAGATTTCAGAAGCTCTTTTTACCATAGATGTACCCACAGCAATGAGGAAGAAACTACTATCCTGTGGGCGACAATCTCTTGGGGTAGAGTGATTAGGACATAAATAAAGGAAAACATGTTGAGTTCCTCTCCCTTTGCCTTCCCAAGTGTCATTCTGAGGTGCTGATGGATGGAAATAGTAATAGGAGAATGTAAGGCAGGGACAAGAACTGATTTGTCCAGGTGCTGGAAACATGTCTAGATTCTCTGGACATCCAACAGCCCTTGTCAGAGCTGCAGCTCCTGCTGAGCTGCTACACAGATGTGAAATCCCCAACTTCTACTCCAGTAAAATTTATAGATGGAAAAAAGAGGTATGTTTGCAGAAAACCAGATGAATGGTGAACTTCCTTATACTTCTACAACTAGTACTTCATAAAACATTTTGACTTCCATACAAATTCTGCTAGTTTTACATCTTACACAGTCTTGCCCATACGCTGTGATCCCTGACTTCCAAAGCCCATTCAAAGATCCTGTTCATCCCTAAAATATCCTAAAAAGTCCACTTAAGCCATTTGTGTACTTGTCCATCCTTTCCTGTACTAAAAGGAAGGAGGGAACAAGTAACACCAGGTGACAAACAGACAAGACACACCCCCTTTCCTGCAACCCCACAAGCTTCTCGCTTACTCTGTGAAGCTGCTCATACTGTGTTGTTTGAACCAAGCAGACCCAGACCCATGGTCTTGCACCCAAGACTGGCATCTAGCGGCAAATACTAGTGGCCTTCCTTGCTTGGCAGAGCAGCTGAACCACTAACCCAGCAGCTAAAAAGTGCAGTATGTGTTCAGGACTTCGGCAAAGAGTGACAGCTGGTGGGACTGAATGCTTGGTAGAAAACATGTTTTATCCCCTTCTTCCCACAAATATTTCATCCTTGACTATACACAGGTGCTGTTAAATTAATAAAGTAAACATACTGAAAAACAGAGATAAGCAATATTCATTTATTATTTCCAGTGAAAAAAATGGTGGACGTTTTTAAACAAAGCAAGGGATGTTTAATTTTATACTGTCACTAAGAAAATTTACTTCAAAATCTAATTTAAAAATAAGGGTTTTTTTAGACAGCACAGCAGTGTTTTATTTTGTTATTTAATGAAAGGACTAGTAGCTAGTTATTTTATACTTCGTTACTGAAGTAATCTGATTTATTCCACATATGAGAAAATATATATTCTTCTGGAAATTTGTAATGAGTTTAACGACAAAGTCACTTCCAACAAAACTGATTTAGCAATACCCACAGGTGATGGCATGAACTCTATCAAAGGCAAGGAAATTACCTTTCAAGCTCTTGGCAGGAATTTCATTTAGGATATTCTGAAAGCTTCAGAGGATTGAGTGTACTGAGTTGACTGCTAAAGGACACACTCAGTAATTAACAGCTGGATCTCAAAAATTAAGAATTCACAGATCTTCTAGTCAAAACAAGAGTTGCAGACTTTCTGGGGATTAATCTCATGGTTACTCACTCAATGCAATGTTATATGTAAATAAGTCACTGAAAGATAGCAAATGAATGAAAACCCCAACGAAATAATTTTCTTTTTTTAAAAAAAAACCCTGGTATTTAAACATATTTCTAAGTAAACATGAGAAAACGTTAATTTAAGGCCTCTTAATCAAGAAAACCCCAAAGTTTGATATCAAAGTTTGGGGGATTTTTTTGCTGTGTTTTTAACTTCAAAGGTTGCAACTCGAAGATTACATGCATATAATTTAAAAATTGAACTAACAAAAAAGGTGATAATATTTTTTTTTTATCTTTTACCTCGCATGCCATTAGACTTTCTTATAGGTCAAATTCTTTTTTCCAGGTCAAATTTTATATCTTTCAAAAAAACATATTTTTGACTACTTCTAAGAAGATGCCCTATCCCACAGAGTAAAATCCACTTTCTACAAGGACAGGCATTTATTTCACATAGATACATAAGGCAATTTTAACATTGTGTAAATACTCATTTATCGATATACACAGCTATCTAATTTTGTTACAAGTATGTTTGTGAGTTTTGCAAGGAACCACAAATAGGAAAGGACATCTGTATGAAAGCATTGTGGATGCCTGGTGGTCATGCAAGTATGCTTCACGAGTATGACATTTCTGAAAAATCTGAAAAAACCTCCACCATATCACAGTGCAGAAACTCATCCTACCCCCAAGTTCTTCATATTACGAAATGACTAAGCCTTCCTAGAGAAGCCTTGTGAAGTTCTCATTAGGTTGTGCTCGTTCTTGTGGACTCTCAGAAAACGAAAACAATGTCTGCAAAAAGTAGTCTTGATACATATTTCTAACTACCGATTTTTAAGTTTGAGCCATTTGAAACATTTCTAGGGACAATAAATATATTTTTTAAAAACATTAACTTGACTTTTGTCACACTATGCAACATAGAAATACTTTTTAACTATTACTTATTAAAAACAAAAGATGCATTGATTTTTTTATGCTCAGATATAGAGCACAAAGCATTAAGACAATTAGGCAAAATGATGGATTTGAACACATGCTGCATTTTACTGTTAACATGTATGCGTAACTACCATTAATGTCAATATGAGTTATGTATGCACTGCTAAAATAATATGACCATAGCAGAAATATTTCCTCCAGAACTAATATAGTAATATTTTTAATAGACATTTGGAAAAAACATATTACATATTTAGCTAGTAACATGCAAATGCAAATCCTATTGCAAACTGACGCATTGGAATTCTTTAAAATAAATCTTATTTTTTCAGAAGTTGGCATCAGGTTAAGAATAACCTAGTGTTTATCTCCTTCCATCATACTAGCTTTCATTTAATGGGTACCTACCTGATTTCCACTTCAAAAAGACTAACCAGCTAATGAACAACATAAAGCTGCTATCCATTTTTATTCTAAACTTCCTTAGATAACTGACTGTACGTGAGAACAAATAATGACAACTGAAGAAGTTATCTAAAACTGACAAGTGATTGTAGCCAGTAAATTAACATGGATCTTGGCAACGCCAGCCAGATGGGCCTAGAATGCAGAGTTATGTTTGTAACTTGAACATAATATAAGCATAGAAAATCATCATGAATGTTCTTAAACACATGGTTCATGCCTAATTAACTGGAAGCTATCAGCCAAAACCTGTAATTGCTCAATATTAGATTAAAAAAAATTATAAATAGAATTTAGGATGAATGTCACCAAGTACTAAATGATCTTAAAATATCTGAGAGAAGACACACTCTTTTAGTATACTACAACAATACAGAATTATTATTAGTCAGTGGATGTCTACATCTTAGCTAGCTTCTACAATCATTTTTTGATAATATCTTATTCATCAAAAAATGTAACGCCATGTTTAATGCAGCAGTTTCACGAAGTTTGCTTGTCATATACTTATTTCAGTGAGCAATTTCAAAAATTAAACTATTGTATTTGAAGTATCTGAATTATTTCTAAACACATTTACTAATATATGTAGATCTATTAACTAATATTGTTTAGTCTCTAATTAAATAATCTAAAATTAAGATTTACATTTAATTTATATTTAATAGCAGTCATGAAGCCCTTCCTATACACCTAGCTCAAAAAAGAATAAGTTTATTTGGTTTTGTTTTTTTCCTTCAGTACTAATGTTGCTAAAGTGACAGTAAAAAGAAAAAAAGTGGCGCTAATATAAAATCCAACATAGAACTCCCACTGAAATACGGGGCTTTAGACCCTCAGAAGTTGTACTGTCCTGATATTTTATTTGCATGTAACATAGAAAAGCTTTCAAAAAATTCTTGTCATGTCAACTGTTGAGTACTTATAAAATGAAGACTTTTGTGTTTCCATATTTTAAAAGGAATTTAGAAGTCTTAAAATTATTACAGATTCAGACTTAAATATATACAGAAAAAAGAAAAAACCTCAAGGAAAAAGAACTCATTACAGCACAAAAGTATTGATTTTAAATTTTCTAGAAATCAGAGAAATCACATGTACTTACTTCATTTCTAGAATTTCCTCAAGCTGTTTTCTTCGTTCTATTCTCAGGTTAGCCAGATGTGCTTCTTTTTCAGCCAAAGACTGCTGTGTTGAGGCAAGACGGGCTTTGGTAGAATCTAATTCTTGTCTAGTCTTATCCAGTGCATTCATGAGCTCTTCTACCTGAGAGAGAGAACTTCTTAAGCTCCATATTCTTTACAATAAATACATCTTAAATATATATAAATACAGAAAACTTCACACAAAAGGAACTATTTTAAGCAAATGGTTGTTCAAATCTATTCCTATCTTAACTGTTATTAAAACTAACAAAGTAGTCTTTAAATAACAAAGAATTTTAACATTTCCATAGATCCAGAGAGTAATAATTTAGTATTTAATTTATATAAAACATCAGCAGCAACCTATTTAACCTAGGCCACTGTCACATACAAACACAATTTATAAATATTTGCTGCATCATTTATATTATTTAAACCCAGGGAGGTTGTAACTCATAGTAATTTTAGAAATTTTAGATGCAGATATACAATTTAATATAAAACTAGCCATCACAATCCATGTATCTTACATCAGAAATGCACACCTTTCTGTGCAGAACAAGTTGCCCAGGGAAAGTGTAGACTTCCTAATCCTTGGGCATTTTCAGACCTTGACTGAATCAAGCCTGAAGAATCCAACCCAACTTGAAAGTTACTCCTGCAGGGGTTTAGACCATATTGTCTCTAGTGGTCCCTTCTAACCTGAATTATTCTGTGATTCTGAACTTTAAATGCCTGTTACTGCCCTAATAACAACTAAGTTATTGTCCACATGACAACAGTTGGAATCTCTGAAGTATAAAATGTAGGAAAGTTAGGGTGATCCCACCCTTTCTTTAGTGTTGTTAAATGTCAACTGGATATAGGATAAATTGCTTATTGCGAGAATTCAGAAAAGAATTGTCCTTTCAGAAAACAAAATGCAGAAGTAAAAGAAGTGGATGACACGGTCTATCACATTATTTAAAAATCCCACTAAAGAACAGAGATTACATATGGCATCTGTCTGGCAGCAGAAAATTTACTTGAGGGGTGAATCATTATATCAGAGAACCAAAGGGTCACAAATAGTCTCTGGTAGCCAGGACACCAGTATAATTTCTCACCTCTTTGGTCTAAATATTAAAATTTATAAATTATCAAACACTTCAAGAAGAATATCTAAACAAAATGAAATAGGACAGAGGATATATTCCAGTTGTCCATGGTATGCAAGCCATTGAAAAGTGTTCACTTTTGCTGGTGTACTGAAAAGCCTGACAATATTCCACTGTGGTCATATAATTGGTGTGGCTACAGAGAAAATAAGATGTTTTCTCCAAAGTTCATGCTTACATTTTTTTTTGTTGTTATCAAACTCCTGCTAGCATGCAGTCACTATTTAAGAGTCACATATTTTTCCTTCAATTTGAATACACATTGCCTTCTATGTAATGGGTTCAGTAAAGCACAATTAATAATACAGTCCTCATCAAATTATGAGGACTCACACCTCATTTGAAAATGATACACTGATTACTCCTTCTGCATCAGCCACATTTATAAATGCTCTAATAAGATCAGTGGAATACTAGAACATGTCTGATACCCTTCAGTGCATAAGAAGTTACATTTCGTGAAAGATCAGAATTACTAACAGCATTGAGACTACTGATGTTCAACTTTCCCCTTAGAAAGTAAAACCAGCGTAAGGCTGCTGTAAATGGAATAGCAAGGAATTTAAATTACGCAGTGGTCTGTGCAGGTGCAAGATTCCACTAAAGAAAATGATGAACAAAGATGAAGGCCTTAAATATCTTTGTAAAATGACTATCTAGTGAACTTCCACAACAGAAGCAACAAGGAACAAATATACTTGAGGGAAATAAAAAAAATTAAAAAGTTGGATTTGCATGCAAATCTCAGGGGAAAAAAAAATAACAACAATACCAACACAGAAGGAGACAGATCATATTTCTTTAAAAATATACTCAATTTCTAATGCAAGACCAGATGTTTAATTTTCTGGTTTAGTACAGAAACACAAACCCTTGCTGTCTCCAACTAGGACAAGCCTCAACTACTGAAACATAGTATCTCTACCTGTTTTCTTGGGTTATTT